TTGACTTTTGTTAGATACGACTTTTTGTTTTAGTATTCTCATACTATTAAGGTATAGATATACTAAGTAATTTTGCTGTATAGTACTCATAGTTTAGCAAATAAGATAAAAAAAAGCAAACAACACAAACTTTGTAAGAAAAACATATATTAACTAAAAATAATACATTATCTAATACTAGTCACTTTCAATATCATTTCTGTCGTCCACCGGCAGATCTTGCCAAAAAGATACTCGATTTGCATGAACAATGTATCCCAATTTTTGCAGCAATTTGGCTTTCCCATCCTTGTCAATTCCTTTAGGGGCCAATCTGATCGCAGGTTTTGGTAGGTCATTTTTATAATGTTTGGCCAATAGAAAGTCGAGTTCAATCAATGGTCCACTAAATTTGGTTTTATAAAAAAGGTTTTTAGAGCCCCTTTTAAATTGAACCTCAACATCTTGAAGAATAGTCAATAAAATCATGAAAATCATTAAGGCTCATTTCAATTATCTCTACCCTTAAACTATTTGATTTTTTGACACAAATTTTAAAATCCTCGAAATCTAATACTTTTCCTGTTTGTTTTAAAGACTTTTCCACTTGATGGTGGAAAGAGTCAGCGGACATGAAAGTGTGGTCAGTTTTTAAATATTTTAATTTTAATAAACTTCGATTTACTTCTAACGAGTTAATAATGAAAACAAAAAAGCAATACAAGGCCCAATTCTTGTTTTGCGAAGCGCAGTTATCTAGCCAAATTGTTAACTCTTTAACATCACGGTGAAACAACAGGAATTTGTAAAAGGTTGATATTAGATCAGATTTACTTCTTCCAGCCACGCCTTCATGCCAAACAAGAGCGACCGGCGCCTTTGCAAGGGATTGCTTTTCCAAAGCAACAAAGTTTTCGTTAAAACAAATGATCCTTGGTGTACAAATTATTTCTTTAAACACTTCACAGCGTGGTATCATTATTACCTATAAAAAATATTTCAATTAAATTCACTTTATTGTACTTGTGATATAATAACTACCTGCAAGTCTGCAGAAACAAATAATGATTCATATCCTGGTTTTGTAGATACGTCATTTTTATATTTAGTTCTCGGCAGTTCAGTTCTATGGCTTTTTCATAGTAAAGCAAACTCTGTTGTACCAGTATACCGCATAAGCTAAAAAAGTGAAAAATTGCAGATACGACTTCTTGTCTTAGCAGGGTAGTATACATCTTCAGAATTGATACAGAAGGCTCAATTTCACGACTCGGGAACCGAAAAAATAAATACTTAATTAAAAAAATATATTTCGCTTCTCTATCAGCAACTGGGCATTTCAAACGATTTCAGTTGGGCAAAATATTCTACATTTTCATATGGTTCAAGCCTCCCCACTAATGTAAATACCCATAAAACAGATACCTAAGGTACATTTCTGACGATTCGGTTCAGAGACTAGTAATTTCAGACCAAACCATTTTTCAACAAAAATTCTTGACAGCGTGAAACTTATCCGTTCGGTATGCAGATTCGAAAAGTCGCCGACGACGAACGAAATAAGAAAAAAAGATCGGCATGACAGTGAAAGATCTTGGAAAATAAACCCGACATCTAAGAATGTCATTTTTGGACTCGAAAATTGCGAAAACCACTTTAAGTGAGAGGCTTAATGCCACTCATTTAACATCTGTTGAATACATTTGCATAATAGAGTTTAAAGAAATAAAGAGGAGATCGTTTGGCAGCGAGGGAAGGCGATGGAGGGTCTTCAATCGCAATAAACAACATTAGGAATTCGAGTAAAGTGCAAATTTGAACTTATCTAAAAGTTCCACAAAACAACAAGAAATTTGATGGCGTGTGTCTAGATTCGTTGGAAAACCTCACTATGTATCAGTTACTTCTTCAAGTTTGTATGCCGCCTACCGTGATCACCAAATGCCACACGAAGAATGGTTTATTCATCAGGCAGAGACAAGCTCTCTGTCTGTCTTGTCTCTGACTCAACAAGATGTAATAACTTAAAGGGCGAGGTTTTTCAGTCCCCCAAAATACTGTTCAGAGACTTGAGGATCAACGATGAAAAATGTTTGATGTAACGCCAAACTACATAGTTGCGCAAGTTTCACGCAAATAAGCTTAATTCCAGCATTAATAAAGCGCAATTCGGACATATCAGGCATCTTCAACATCTTTAGTTAATTGCGAGAAGTCCCGATGGCACATCAGGCCTTACACCAATTAATTTCGTATCAATTAAGACGCATAATGGCAGTCTAAATATATCGAGAGGCTTCTCGGGTTCAAGCAGATTTAAATTAGCAATTAGACCCTGCTCTTTGCTGGGATTGTGCCTCTTCAGGTCGCCAATTCGGATCAGGTTTTTCTATGCTGGTTTGAGGTTGCAATGGGCGCGATTAGTCAATACATATTTGGATCACAATGGTATTATTGGTGGACTTTTTCTTTTAATAAATATGTCTTGGGGAGCATACCGTAAACTGTTCCAACCATTTCAAACAAATAAAACATCAGACAGACGAATGATACGTCGCAAACAAACAACAAAATAATCTACAAATCAAACACGATCCATTCTTACCAGGGTCCATAAAATATTCTCTATTCAATAATGAGAGTGTAACGTTTTTTTTGTATGGGGTTGAGTTAAAGCCTGCAATAGGTAATGATGTACGTGCATGTGCTTGCAAGATTATTGGTATTTGCCGGGCAGTAGATGGTTTGCGGAAAGTGGTTTTAACATTGGCAACAATCCCGCCAGATCACCCCGAATCAGTATGCAGAGCAGCGATTTTATTAAGTTTCCAATTTTCTCAAGCTGATGAACTCAACGTAAAAAATGAGAGTAAAATTCAAATTTGTTCCAGGAAAGTCAACAGATTTTTTCCAGGTTCGCACTGCTTCAGTCGGTTATTCCACCTCTGTGCCTTTGGAAATGCGAAATATTTATGAGGCTCTTGTTTTTATCAGTTGTTTCATAAGAGAGTGATTTAAAACGCGCCAATTTAGCTTTGCATTTTTCTGAAAGCCTTAAACTGAGCTTGTTCCAAAAGCCAAAATCTTTTGCAAAATAGACTAAATCGTAGTGAAAAATACTGAAACTGAACAGAACTGATTGGGAAACCAAAGAAAATTAAGAAATTTAAGAGAATGTTGAAATTAAGATATCAAGCAAGACAGCAGACTTTTAAAAAAGCTCCCCAGCCATAGTAAATCCCGTCCGACAACTAAGTTAAAATCGACTTTCCAAGTTCTGCCAATATTTGCAAGTTATTCGCATCCAACTAGGAAACTATGCAGACAAGTTTAAGTTCCAGTTCGAGCTCGAAGACCCTCGTTTAACAATTGCCAGGGTGCTTTCATTTGAGTGTACGATCGAAGAGGTTTGATTAATGAAAAAAAAACTGTACATCGATCAATTTTCAAATGACTGAAACTGGAAGAAAAACTTTATTGAACACAGCAATCGACTTAGCTAAGTTTTGGTTGCATATTACCAATAGCTAATGGGATACAAAGATAATAGCTTTCTAACAAAATTGCCCTCAAGCTCGTACGGCACGAAACTTTCCAACGCAAGCCCCTACAAAATTGTAATATATAATATAGGAAGACACGCCCTGTTTTGATCAAATCTGTTAGTTGGATTAAATTCTACAGATACTAGGCCTGGGTAACACTGT